CCTCTAAACAATTATTTCATCACTGTGAAGGTCACTGTGTGGATTCCCTCAGCATCATCCTCCAAAGGTAGCCAATGAAGGGTTTTTTTCCACTATCATGACGCATGGATTTTTAACATATTTAATATGTTTCGATTAAATTCTCAGTTTAAAATGCTGGTGAAAGTTGTTATTTTCACCTTCATTATTTTTTTATTTTTAACATTTTAAATTAAGGAACAATTCTCACATGATATAAAAGTCACAATTTTACCAGTTCAAACCGTACAAATAAGTGTGGTGTTTCATTTTTTATTATATCCACAGTGTTGTTCAACCATAACCCCTCTCTGGTTCCAGAATAGTTTCATCACACAAAGAAACCCTGTACCCATCAGCACTCTCCCTTCCCTCCTCCCCAACCATATTTTGGCAAAAACAAATGCCCTTCTGTCCCTGTTCTGCACGTTTTATATAAATGGAATTATAGAACATGAAGTCTTTTGTGTCAAGCTTCATTTATTTAGCATATTGTTTTCAAGGCTCATCCATGTTGTATCTTGTATTCGAACTTTATTTATTTTGGGGCGCCTGGGTGGCTCAGTCAGTTAGGCATCCGACTCTTAATTTGGGCTCAGGTCATGACCTCAGGGTTGTGAGATCGAGCCCTGTGTTGGACTCCACGCTGGGCATGGAGTCTGCTTAAGATTCTCCCTCTCCCTTTCTCTTCCTCTGCCCTTCCCCCCACTTGCTTGTGCACTCGCTCTCTTGCTCGCTCTCTCTCTAAAAAAAAAAAGAACTTTCTTTTATGGCTGAATATTGTTCCACTGTATGAATATTTCACATTTTATTTATCTATTCATCATTTGATGGACATTTGGCCTGCATCCACTTTTTGGTGATTAGGAATATTGCTATTATGAACATTTGTGTACAGGCTTTTATGTGAACATATATTGTCAATTTCTTGGGCAAATACCTACACGTGGATTATGGTGGGTCATATGAGAACTCTATGTCTAACTTTCTGAGAAATGGCAAGACTATTTTCTACAGAGGCTGCACCACTCTTATATTTGTACCGGCAGTGTATGAGGGTTCTAATTTTCCCAAATTCTCACCAACACTTGTTCTTCTCTGTCTTTAAAAAAAAAATGTAGCCATTCTAATGAGCAAAGTGGTATCTCATAGTGGATCCACATTTCCCTAATGACTAATGACATTGAACATCTTCTCTTATACTTATTGGCCAGTTGTATATTTTCTTTGGAGAAATGTCCATGCAAGTCCTTTGCCCATTTTAAAATTTGTCTGTTTTTTTCTTGCTGAGTTGGAAGAGTTCTGTATATTTCTAGATCCTTTATTAGATTTATAATTTGTTGATATTTTCTCCCATGATATGGGTTTTGTTTTCATCTTCTTGATAGTGTCCTTTGATGCACAAGATTTTAATTTTGATGAAGTTCAATTTGTCTATTTTATTTTTAGTTTTTCTATTTTGTTGTTTGCGCTTTGAGGTCATATTTAAGAAACTGCTGACTAATCCCAAGTCCCAATAATTTACACCGATGTCTCTTTCTACTCTAATATTTTTATAGTTTTAGCACTTGCATTTAGGTCTTTGTCCATTTTGAGTTAATTTTTATACATGTTGTAAAAGCTTTTAATGCATTCTTTCGCATGTGGATATTCAGTTTTCCCAACCCCCAAGATTATTTTTTACTATTGAATGGTGCCCCTGGTCCCCTCATTGAAAATTGCAGATGTGTGATTTTATTTCTGGATTCTCGATTCTGTTCCATTGGTCTATGTCTATCCTTGTGCAAGCACAACACTGTTCTGCTTCTTAGTAAGTTTTTGAAATCAGGAAGTGTTAGTTCTCCTACTGTGTTCTTTTTAAATATTGTTTCGGCTATTTAGGGTCAATTTCTGCCAAAAAAAAGGGGGGGGCAATTGGAAATTTGAAAGGATTGCATTGAATCTGTACGTAAATTTGGGGAATACTGCATCTTGACATTATTAAGTCTTCCAGTCCATGAAAGTGGGATACCTTTACATTTATGTAGGTCTTCTTTCATTTCTTTCAGCAATGTTTTGTAGTTTTTCTGTATCTACTGAGATGATCATGTGTTTTTCCCCTTAATTCCATTTGTATGGTGTATTATATTGAATGATTTTTGTATATTGATCCACCCTTGCATTCCTGGGATAATTCTCATTGTTATGCTGTATAATCCCTTTAATGGTCTTCTGAATTTAGCTTGCTAGTATTTTGTTAAGGATTTTTGTATCTATATTCATAAGAGATATTTATCTGTAGCTTCATTTTCTTGCAGTATCTTTGTCTCAATTTAGTGTTAAAACAATACAGACCTTATGAAATGAATTAGAAGTGTTTTCTCGTATCCTCTTTTTTAGAGTTTGAGATGTACTGGTGTTAATTCTTTAAAAATTTGGTAAAAGTCACCAGTGAAACGATCTGGTCCTCAGCTTTTCTTTGTTGGAAAAGTTTTTTGACTACTGACTCAATCTGTTTGCTATACGTCTTCTCAGTTTTCTATTTCTCCCTGAGTCAGTTATGTTAGTTTGTGTGTTTCCAGGAATTTGTTCATTTCTTCTAGGTTAGCTAACATGTGGCATACAATTGTTCTAATATGTTCTTACAATACTTTTTATTTCTGTAAGGTCAGAAGTCACATCTCTGCTTTCATTACTGATTTTAGAAATTTAAGTCTTCTTTTTTCTTGGTCAATCTACCTAAAAGTTTGTCAAGTTTGTTAAACTTTTCAAAGAACCAACTTTTAGTGTCATTGATTTTCTGCATTATTTTACTCTTCTCTAATTCATTGATCTCTTCTCTAATCTTTATTTCATTCCTTCTATTTACTTTGAGCTTAGTTTTGTGTTCTTTTTCTACTTTCTTTTCTAAGATGGAAAGTTAAATTATTGATTTGAGATCCTTTTTTAATGTTGGTGTTTATAGCTATAAATTTCTGAGTCCTTCTTTCATTGCATCTCCTAAGTTTTGATATGTTGTGTTCCCATTTTCATTTATCTTAAAATACTTTATAGTTTCCATCATGATTTCTTCTTTTACCATTGGTGATTTAAAAATGTGTTGTTTAGCTTCCACATATTTGTAAGTTTTCCAAATTGCCTTATGTTGTTGATTTGTGATTTCATTTCATTTTGTTTGGAGAACATTCTTAGTATAATTTAAATCTTTTAAAATTTATTGAGACTTGCTTTGTGAACTAACATATGGTCTATCATATGGTGCACTGGAGAAGAATGTATTCTCCTATTGTTGGATACAGTGTGTTCTACATATGCCTGTTAGGTCTATTTGGTTTATAATATTGTTCAAATTCATTATTTCCTTGCTGGTATTTAGTTTTGTTGTTCTATTCATTATTGCAAGTGGAGTATTGAAGTCTTAAACTATTATTGCTAAATTCACTTTGACTCTTGAAGGATATTTTGGGTAGATGTAGAATCTTAGTTGGTAATTGTTTTCTTTGAACAAAGGAAAATATAATTCCTTTTACTTTGGTTTCCATCATTTTTAATCTTGTAAGCCAATTGTCAGTCTTACTTCTAAAGTTGATACTTTGAAGCAACTATGTCTTCTTTTAAAAAAAAAAAGGTTTATTTATTTATTTTGGGGGGAGGGGCAGTGGGAGAGGAAGAAAGAGTCTCAAGCAGACTCCACGCTGAGTGCATATCCGCCATGGGGCCCAATCTCACAATCCTGAGATCATGACTGAGCCAAAACCAAGAGTTGGAAGCCTAACTGCACCACCCAAGCGCCCCTGAAGTGATTATGTCTTCTTTCTCAGGCTGCTTTTAATATTCTTTTCTTTATTTTGGTTCTAAATATTTTTATTGATATGTCTAATTGTGGTATTCTTTGTATAAATCCTGCTTTGATTTTGTAGGGTTAATGAATCTGTAGAATAATATCTTTCATTGGTTTGAGATAATACTTGGCCATTATCTCTTCAAGTTCTGATTCAGCCTATTTATCTCTTTCCTCTTCATACTATGTTTGTCTCTATGTCTTCAGTCTCTAACCTTCATTTCTGATTTTTCTATCCTTTTTCTCTTAATGCTTCACTCTGAATATTTTCTACTGATCTGTATTCTAGTTCACGGATTTTCTCTTTAGCTATTTCTAATTGGTAAAATTCATTCACTGAGTTCTTATTTTAGTCATTGTATTTTTTAAAAGTTATCACTTTATCACTTCCACATTTCTGCTAAAATTCTTAGTCTCATATTTTATCCTTTAAACATAATAACTTCAATTTTCTTAATTTAAATTCAATTAGCCAACATATAGTACTAGTTTTTGATATAATGTTCAATGATTCATTAGTTGTGTGTGTGTTAACTCCAAAATCTGAAACTTCTTTGGGTTTTCCTATTATTTCTGTTATTTTAATTCATATTGCAGGAACTCCTCAATTTTTGAATTGTGTGTCTGGCAGTATATACACAAAACTTTTATGGATAATACTGAGGTCTAGAATAATGTGTCTTCCTCTTGAGATATGTTTATTTTTGCAAGGTGTCAGAGACACTAGCACTCAGATCACATCTTAATACAATTTCAGTGATTGAAATGGTCAGAAGCGGAGCTGCCTACCTACTCCTTATTTACATCACTCTTATGGTGCATCCTGGGTGATTCCTAGTAACCAATCACTGTCAGCATTAGCTCTGCAAGACAGGAAAAACCTCACTGCTTAGCCACCTGGCCTCTCAGACTTCCTTTTCAAAATTGGCTTATGTCTCAAGGGAAAAAGAGAATCTCAGTAATGAAATCCCTGGGCCTCTGTTTTTATCTTGAGTTTTGTTTAGTAATTTTTTACTAAATCATTAACTCTCTTATACCTTCAATCAGATTTTGTTTTTGTTGTTGTTTATCTTTTCTTAACAGTCTTCAGTAGGAAGTTTAGCTTGACCTACTTAGTCTGCCAATACTGGAGCTGTAATTCCCCTGGTGAGGACTGAGGCTTATGCCACCCCACAGAAATGGAAACCTCTCCATGGTCTACTTTCAAGATTTTGTGCTGGAGGGATTTGAGGGTGGCCTGGGGACCCAGGCCATGCTCTTTGCTGTGTTCCTGGCCCTGTACATGATGACTGTGTTGGGGAACCTCACCATGATCATGGTTATCACCCTGGATGCCCACCTGCACTCCCCAATGTACTTCTTCCTCAAGAACCTCTCCTTCCTGGATTTGTGCTACTCATCTGTCATCACCCCCAATGCCCTGGTCAACTTCTTTTCCCCATCCAAGGTCATCACCTTTGCAGGCTGTGCCACCCAGCTATTCTTTTTCTCTCTACTGGTCACCACTGAAGGCTTCCTCCTGGGTGTCATGGCCTATGATCGCTTCATGGCCATCTGCAGCCCCTTGCGCTACCCCATCACTATGTGCCATTCTGCCTGCACTCGCCTGGTTCTGGGCACCTACTGTGGAGGCTGCCTCAACTCTGTTGTGCAGACCAGCTTCACATTCCGCCTCCCATTCTGCAGCTCCAATCATATCAACCACTTCTTCTGTGATGTTCCGCCCCTGCTTCAGCTCGCCTGTGGCAACACGGCCATCAATGAACTTCTCTTGTTTGGTATCTGTGGGATCATCATTGTAGGTGTGACATTTGTGGTCCTCATCTCCTATGGCTACATCACAGTGACCATCCTGAGGATGCACTCAGGAGCTGGGAGACGCAAGGTCTTCTCCACCTGTGGCTCCCACGTGGCTGCAGTGACTCTCTTTGTTGGGACTGTCTTTGTCATGTATGCCCAGCCAGGAGCAATTGAATCCATGGAGCAGGGCAAGGTGGTCTCTGTCTTCTACACGCTGGTCATCCCAATGCTCAATCCCCTCATCTACAGTTTGCGAAACAAGGATGTGAAGGAGGCCCTGTGGAGGCTGGGCCAGAAATACACAGCCATGTGAAGGATGTGGTGGAGGAAAGAGTGTGTTCTGCAGGCTGGATGGAAGCCTCAGAGAGACACTGAACTATGAGGACCTCCTCAAACCTCTTCCAATTCCAGATGGAATTGGATATGTTAAGAAACTCATTCATTTACTCTTTCAATCAATGTTGCTTGAAAGCATTTAATGGACCAGACGTTTACTAAGTGGGAAATGCATAGACAAATAAGGATGTTCTTCACCCAAAACTCTAAATGTTCAGAGAAGGAGCAGGGACTTGAATCACATGAAGACTAGGCAGAGCAATCACTCGGCATCAAGGCAGGGGTGGGTCTTCTGCCTATTACTTACCATGGTTCTCTGGCCATCCATGAGATTTAGTGGGAGAGAAGTCAGATGTTTGTGCATCTTGATCAAACTTGGAAGAAAAAAATGTCTTAAACACTGTACCTTCACCCTCCTGTCCTCCAGAGGCAGGGCCTTGCTGTCTCCTCTTGGCCAGACATGAGCATTTACCTCTCATAAATGGGCTGCCATCCTCAATACCATTGCCATAGAGATCTGTCTAAAATAATAATGTAATACATGGCTAAGCCATTCCCCATGGTGGGTTTGGTGTCATTAGGAATAGGCTTGGCTGGAGTGGTTCAGGTCTGACGATAGGGCCTCTCTCACAGAGAAGCCAGGTTGGTGGTCTGAGGCAAATGCATTGGTTTCATTCGGGGGAAGGAGATCCCTTGGGCTTTGCTTCATGACACCAAGGGCATGGAAGACACTGTTAGTAGAAAAAATGACCCAGAGATCCAGCTGTGACATCCACCTTTCTAGTCACAGAATGGGACACATGAAGTATAAACAGATATAATTTTTATGCATCTACAGAAAAAATATCAAATCATATCCACTCGGGGAGATCACCATCACCCAGGTCAAGAAAGAAACCTACCCAGTTTCCACAATACCCCTGCCTCCTTCTAGTCAGTGACCTGAAAGGTTAACACCTATCCTCCCTCTAACACACAAGTTAGTTTTGCCTGCTGTGAACTTCCTATGAATAGAACCACACAATTTTTCTTCTTTTGTGGCTTTTTTTTTTTTTGCTAATATTCTCTTTGTGAAATTAATCCTTGTGATTGTGTATTGTAGCAGTTCTTTAATTTTCATTCCTATATAAATTTCATTAAATGAAGATACCATAATTTGTCCATCTTACTGTTGATGAACCCTTGGGTTGTTTCCAGTTATTGTCTTTTAAAATAATGCTGTTATGAAATACTTATATATTTTGTTTGTTTGTTTTTTGTTTTGTTTTGTTTTGTTTTTGCTGTGAATTAATTCCTTTGGGCATACTTAGGAGTGGAATTTTTATCTTTTTGGATAACTCAAGTTTTCCAAAAATGTTACAGCAATCTTTGTTCCCAAAAATAGTGCCTGAGAGTTCCTGTTGCTGCACATCATCACAAGAAGCTATATTGTCTGTCTTATCAATTTTAGTCATTCTGGTGGGTAGATAGCCACATATCATGTGGCTTTCATTTTCATTTCTCCAATGGCCAATGGGTTAATCAGATTTTCATATATTTAGCAACAATTTGGATGTCCTCTTGGGGAAGTATATATGCTTTTCTCAGTTTTCTACTGTATTGTTTTTCTTTTTCATACTGGCTGTAGAAATTTTGTCTATATTCTGGACATGAACCCTTCACCAGTTATATGATTTGCAAACATCTTCTCCTTCTTTGTGGCTTCCACATTTGCACTTCTATTGATTAAAAAAATTTCTCTATTGACAGAAGTTCTTAAATTTACTTAGTAAAGTTAGTTTATCAGTCATCTCTTTCATGATTACTTCATTCTGAGCATGTTTAAAGAATCACTGCCCATACTAGATTCAAAAAGATATTTCTCTATGTTACCTAGTAGAAGTTTTCTTCCCCAGTCTTTTATGTTAGTATATATAATTCACATGGAAATAACTTTTTTATGGTTTTTGTGATATAGGGGTTGTTTCTTTTTTTTATATGGTTATCCTACCGACCTTTTTAAAATATATATATATGTTTTTCCCCCACTGCTATGTAGTGTCACCTTTGTCATAAACCAAGTGTCCCGATATATGTTGGTGTATTTCCGAGTCTTATTGTGTCCCATTGGGCTGTCTATTCTTGTGCTATTTTATAATGTATTGTTGAATATTTAAAAAGTAAAATATCATAATATAAGCTCTTCAGTATATATGAATAAATATAACAAATAATGTGCAATATATTTAGAAATACAATTTTAAATGTTATTGAAATATATAAAAGAACTGAGTAAATGGAAATCTGTACCATGTTCATGGATGAGAAGTTTTAACATAAAGATTCTTATTATGCAACATAGCCATTATGCTCTCTTACTCCTTTTGTTTATTTTAGAGTGAGCGAGCAAGAGAGAGAGAGAGAGTGCAAGCAGGGGGAGGGGCAGAGGGGAGAGGGAGGTCTCCCCGCTGAGCATGGAGCCCAACACAGGGCTTGATCTCACAACCCTGAGATCATGACTGAGCTGAAACCAAGAGTCAGACACTTAACCAACTGAGTCACCCAGGTGCTCCAATGCTGTCTTGCTTTTAACATGATTTTTTTTTTATAGTGCTGGACAAATGATTCTAAAATTTCTATGTAGAAACCAGCTATAAGAATAACCAAAGCGACATGAAAAATTAGAACAAAATTAGAAGGAATGTGCCTTTCTTACCTAGAACTCTCCCACAATCAAGAGCACACCAGGTTGAATGATAAATGGACCCTAGGCAGAGGCCCTGACATTTCTGGCTCTCAGCCCCTTGGCCTGTTCCATGGTCCCACTGCCCACCATGGCTTCTCAGCAAATCACTGCTGCTCCAGCCTCTGACCATGCAGTTTATCTGAGCCCCTGGAAAGGGCTTCTATCAGAGAGGGGTGAGCCTTATGGTGAGGCTTATAAGACCAAGCCCAGAGAAGTCTGGCCATGTTGGCACTCTCTCTGGGCAATCATGGTCCCTCTCTTGTCCCAGGAAGCCAGTGTTCCTCTTATAACAAGCCTGCAATGGTGCCTAGAGTGAACCACCTTCCTAGCTTGCTGGCTACACCTCTATCTTGTTTGCCACTGCCCTTCCCCAGCACAGTCCCAGCATCAAGTCCAGGACAGATCTATGTACTCTTCTTGCATGACTTCCCTCCACTGTGGATACTTCTACCAGTGCATCTCCCATGTTACATGAATGGCAACTCTGTGTGTGTGTGTGTGTGGCATGTGCATACATGCACACCTGTCTCTAGTACAGAGATCACATCTCAGCTGTCTCTGTAGCCCCTGCTCATGGCATCTGGTAGATGCTGAATGTTTGCTGAATTGAACTGAGTCACCCAAACTGCCTCACCATCAGCAAAGTGGCTCATCATGATCTTCACTAAAAACATGAGGCCATCAGGCACTCCCATCTTTACTTATTCCCTCCATCTTCCCCGGATGAATTGTCCCCATCCTGCTCAAGGCTGAACCCTATACTGGGTTTGGAATTCTACCACGTCCACTCCTCTGGGCTCCTTTAGGGACTCTCTGCCAACAACCATCCTCTCTCTCATTTAATTTTGACCTTTCTCTTTCCTGACTCTTTCTCTTCAGGCTTCAAACCTGTCCAGAGATCTCTCACCCTTCCCTTTAGCCCAGACATCTCTGGGCCTGCTTATATCTCTCACTCACTCCCCATGAACGTTTTTTAAACCCAGACTCTGCACTCACTGTCTCTACTTGTGCTATCCTGCATCCCTTTGCAATCAGGCCTCTGCACCCAGCACTACATCTAACTGCTGACAGTGCCACCGAGTCTAACGGACAGTTTCTGGTCCTTATCAGCGACGACCTGAGTGGATTTGGGTACTGCTACCTCTTTCTTCTTTGACAGCACCTCCTCCTTCAATATCTGAGGCACGTGGCCATCCCTGTTCTTTCCAAATAATTTTGATAATTCCTACCCAGACACTTGTGTTGGTCCCTCTCTTTCATGTCATTTAAATGCTGGTGCCCCCAGGGGGCTGTTTTTGCCCTTCATCTCTCCAGGGTCCATTTGCCGCCCACTCAGTGATCTCTGAGGTTACTGTCTCCAAATGAGACCCTTCAATCTCATCCACCCCCCAACCATAACACAAAATACTACATGTGCAGCTTAGTGATTCTCCCATGTGAAAATCCCCGTGAAACCACCACCCATGCCAAGATTGAAACATTTTCAGAACCAAAGGGGCCGATTTGTACCCCTTCCCAATTAATACCCTGCTCCTAGGGTGACAACCATTCTGATCTCTAATAACATAAATCAGTTTTTTCTGCTTTTGAACACTATAAAAATGGAATATACACTGCCATAGATAGATGTCCTCTTTTGTCTGGCTTATTTGGCTCAGTGTCATGCCTGTGAAAGTCCTCCCTGCTGTTGCATGTTGCAGAGGTTCACTCTTTCCCACTACTGGCATAGTATGTTATTACATAAACACACAACTTATGTATCCTCTCTACTGTTGATGGCCATTTGAGTTGTTTCAACTTGGAGGCTATCACAACTCAAACTGCTATGAGCAATCTTTTGCATGTCTTTTGATGATCATAAGCATGGATTTGTGTTGCAACTATGCCAGTAAACTAAAGTTTCTGGGTCACTGGGGCCTGTTTAACATTAGTAGATAATGCCAGTTATATGGAAACTTTCAAGGAATCTACAAAGTATCCTCTAGAACAATAAATAGGTTTAGCAAAGTCTCAGGGTACAAAGTCAGAATACAAAATCAATACTATTTCTATAGATTAGCAATAAACAGTTGGATTTTGAAATTTTAAAAGTACCATTTACAATAGCATCATAGAAATGGAATATTTCAGTATAAATCTAACAAAATAAGCGGAAGATAATTTGTATAAAATTATAAAGACTGATTTAAAAAATTACAGAAAGTCTAAATAAATGAAGAGATAAACTGTGTTCATGAATTGGAATGTTCTAT